CTACTTGGTGGTTTTTGAAGCTTTCCAGGATCAGCTGAGCAATGATGTGGTTTGGCATTTTAATCAGTCAATACAGTATCAAGCTGGATGATTTTGGAAGTAATTAATGCTTGAATGAAGTCCTTATCCTAGTGAGTTATGCCCCCATCTTTTAGGAAACTTTATGGGATGATTAGAGGCAGCCTTTCAAATTCCATTTGAGGGATTTATTTTTTCCTCCAAGATGTTTTTGTTTACGTGACCAAAAAGGAAATAGAGTGTTTTAAAGAAGCGAGACGAGGCATATTAAATGGAGAAAAATGCGCTCACTAAATTGAAATTTAATGTCATCACTTTTAAATATGAAAGTAAAAACTTAAATGAATCTTCAAAGTTACTAATTAATTTGGTGCTGGCCCCTTCCATCCCATCACATAGATGCGCTTTATCGAAGAGGGACATTAATTGAAATTGGAATGATTCATTTTATTATGTGTAAGTCAGAATAAATTAATTCCAATGTCAGTATTAATTAACTCCAGTGTTAATAATTCCACAGACCTTTCTTTCACGGTTTGCTACAGTAATTGAAAGTTTATCTGTTGTTTTTAAAAAATCAGAGAAACCACTGTGTGGTTGGGGGGGTGGTGGTTGTGAAGACATAAAAATTTATAGCTACTTAGAAATGTCACTTATACTCCAAATTATTATTTATGTTAGAGTAGCCTTCTATTTTAAGCAAACTATTTATTTGAATGATAAAAATTTCTCCTCTACTTCTTCATCTCCCTCTGTATCCACATCCAGTTTCCTCTATTTTCTCACATACCACGTGCAGGTGGAAGGGAAGGAACAGTTTTGCACTTGTCTGAGATCAAAGACTTCTTTTTTTTTCCTGTTGCACAATTAGGGCAAGAGGTCATTGCAGATTATTGCTCCATCTCTAGTCTGAACTGAGCTATCCAGAGAATAATATTTGCTAGGTCAATTTGCTGGGGCAGTCTTTTTAGGTGATACTCTTACACGAATAAAAATGGAAAGAAGAAGTGGTCACATAACATTGATTTATTTTTCCTCCTTTTCACCTAGAGAGGAGTGTTGGGGTGGAAAGCAAAGGAGGGAGGGGATCCTATGGACTGCGCTGGAGGTTTATGGGGACCTTGGTGGTGGAGTATGATGTGGTGACATATGGCGAGGGAGGTGTTAACCTGTACCCCGAAATCATATAGTGTTTTATAAACCAGCGTTACCTTGATTTAAGCAATATGGTTAAAAACCCAAAATCAAGAGTGTTCAGACACTCACAGAAAATCAATGAAGATCAATTTTAAATTTCAAATGGAAAAAAATATTGGAAAACACCCATCTGGCTGCCCTTGGCTCTGTGGCACCCCACTCCTTCCACGCCTCTCTGGAAGTCGACACCTTCTGGAGCCTGGGTAGCAGGGTAGGCCTTCTGCACTTTCTTTCCTCCAGGGTGACTTTCAGAACCACAGCCTGTGGGCAGCTCCTCTGCGCTGCCAGCTGGAGGAGAGGCGTGGCAGTTTGGTTATTTGAGCCCTTTCTCCTCTAATTCTTTTTTACTTTTCCTTCTCTCCCAAGAAGAGATTTACTGTTTCCGAGGGTTCCTTCTGCTACCAATGTGACAAGCGTTGGCATAGGAAGTGCCCAGTAGTGAAGAGGAGCAGGGAAGCTTAGCAAGAAGACCTTGGGAGCTGGGAGAGAGGAGGGCAGCTGGCAAGCGCCACAGGAGGTGCCCATCAGGGCAGAGTGTGAAATAAATATCAGAAGTCAGTACTTCAAGTTTGGACCAGAGTCCCTGGTTGCAGAGACTGGACTGGCAATTGCTGATAATGTGACCATAGCAGTCACTGTTTATTGAAAGTTGTTTGGGGGCAGGAATCATGCTGGGTCCTCTGTCTAGCGACCTCTCAAAATAGGTCCACTTTGTCCATCTCAAAATGACAGCAGCCTCACCTTCAGAAGTTCCACACTTGCCTGACTGGTCCTTTTAGTTTACTATTCAGTAAAAGAGATGGACACATCTGTAGTTGGTCATATCCATCCATAATGTTCCAACCATGAGAATGTCATCTGATTTAGCTTCCTCTTGCTCCCATAGTACATTATCACACATTTAGGGGCTTATGAGGACACCGCTATATTGGGTTGTCGGAAAAAGTCATGACCTATTTTTTCTTTGAAAGACATAGAAAAAATGAATCATGACTTTTCTGTCAACCCAATATTATCTTACTGTTCTCAAGGTCCAAAATCCTAAATGGGTCTCACTGGGCTCCACTTAAAGTGTCCATAGGACTGAATTCCTTCCAGGGGTGCTACGGGACTGTTTCCTTGCCTTTTCCATCTTCTGGATGCTGCCTGCATTCCTTGGCTCCTGCCCCTTCCCATCTTCATCTCACTGACACCACTATTCTGTCTCTCTCCCCCAGATTTAAACAGCCCTTAACATTACACTGGTCTACCCAGTTAATCCATGATCTCTCACTATTTTAAGGTCTGCTGATTAGCAACCTTAATTCCTCCTACAACTTTAATTTTCCCTTGCCTTGTAATGTACCATATTTATGGGTTCCAGTTTGGGGTAAGAGGCGACATATTTTACCTACCATAGAGCATCTGAGCTGCTCCTCAGATATAATTAAGGTCATAGACCTGGATCATCCAGAAGGGTCCAACTGAATCAAACGAGCCCTTAAGAGCAGAGTACTCTTTCTGCCTGGGGTCAGTGGGATGTGTTAGGTGGGAAAATGTTTAATGGAAAACATGACTTTGAATTGAGCTTACACAATGCTGCTGCATGATTTTTCCCAAGTGTGCTCTGTTTTACCTCTTTTTTGCCCAAGAATGACAGTGACTCTTTTTTGTTCCTCTTGTAAACCTGAGTCCAGCTTCCAGACCTAGTGGTCAAATGCTTCTGGATCCAACTTTGGATCATGTACCTGCTATTCAGCCAGTCTCTGTTTATTTTGGGGCCTGCCAGGGCTCTGTTTTCTTTGCCTTGATTATCTGTCTTACCGTAATGTCTCAATTTCCTCCTCTACTTTTAAAGTTAAATTAAATTTACACTTTTTTTAATGAAGCTCTGGCAACATTGATCAATGCTGATTTCTTCCCATCACATTTATAATCTTTGATATACAGAGTTCAACTTACTTCATTGGCATGACACACTATTTTCTGAGTGTTTCTTGTGTAAATTTTAGTCCTCTGAGGCATATGATTCTTTTTTTTAAAGATTATTTTTATTTATTTATGCATATAAGAACTGGGGTGTGAGGCATGGGGGCACCGTTAGAGGATTTACCCGAGACAGAGTGGGGACCAGAACAGGTGGATCTACTGAAATACACTGCTGAGGGGAGCAGCGGGTGAGACAGGAGAGGTCTTCTTCATCATGTGAGTCAGCTTCTTGACTGGGGATCGAGCTCATGCCTCAGTGCCTGGTGATAGCTTGATAGTGCTGAGACTTAACCCCTGTGCCACCAGGGAGGCCCAGCATATGATTTTTGAGAGGAAAGACCTTTTTTTCTAGGTTTTCAGCATCATGTGATATTTTTAATACTCTGCAAATGTGTGCTGATCTACTAACTAAAAGCAATTACATACAAATAAATGAGACATATGTGTGGTAGTGGAGGTTTCTTCATTGTACAGCAGCCATTGTACAGTTACACCAGATACTTTTGGCTAATGGGACTGAAAGAGCTTCCTCTCTTTCTCCTCCTGGTTCCCCCGTTATCTGCACACCCACTCTACTCATGTGCAGCTAGAACCATCAAGTGGTTCAGAAGCCCATGTGGTGGCCTGGCAGCTGGCCTGCTACCCTCTGAAAGTTCCCCAATGACATTTATTATTCTGATCCTCAACCTGTACATCAAAAACTCTCATTCCATCTTTGAACAAGTAATGTGATTAGAATAATTCATATTATATTAGTGAAGAATGGATAGGCATCTTTAACCTTTCTGGCTTTTGTTTTGCAACCAAAATATTATTTTGAAAGTGTATATGAGGAGCTGTGTTTTGTGAAGAACTCTGTCTTCTCTGGCCCTTCTGTTCGTAAGAGGATCATGGATGTCTAGGCACATATCTGTATTTCTGGTGGGACATGCATGGGGAGGTTGGTCACAGATGGGGAGTCCAGAGGTACGATCTCCTGAGCTTTGTCTCTGTACGCTGGAGAGGCAGATAAAGAGCTAGTGGGGATGTGGGTCATGGAAACTGGCACCCCACAATAGGAATACTGAGACACATCGGTGGCACAAGCGCTGTAAAAGCAGGGTAATGGGAGCAAACAGGCATGAGTTTGGGGTTCAGCACAGCTGCAGGTGTGCACACACTGTTCAATTGTTTCTGGCTTTGCCTCTCCATCAGCAGCAGGTGCACGGAGTTCCATTGTCTTCATCTATAAAATAGGATTGATAATACTTGCTTTGGAGGGTTAGAGAGCACGTAGCCCAAACAGCTGATAGGTGCTAAGTAATCGGGTTTAATTCCAAAGTCAATGTGATGATAAATCCCAGGATGACTTAATGTGCAAACTCATCAGCTTTCAGGAGCACAGAGTGTCAGACTGTGTAAATGACGGAGAAGTCCACATCCGTGACTTGGGGGACAGCGCCCCATGACCAGAGGGGTCGCTTGGGACTGTGGGTTTGTTGGATCAGGGGCATGGGCTTTGATTGGGTAGACCTCAGCTGCTGTGGTGTGACCTCATCCGCTGTGCTGTGACCTCAGCTGCCTCTGGTGGACAGAGTTTGCTGTTATCTGGCGCCTTGTCAGGTATGGTGTGGCCAGGCAGGTGTGGCTACGTGAAGTAAAGCTATCAGTAAAGTAAAGCTATCAGGCTTTTCTGCCCTCCCGCCATCAGGATGGATGGTGGATCCCTGCGGTTCTGAATGCATGCCTGACAGCGGGCACCTGGAGTAGGGTGTGGGCATGCGTAAGTGGGTGCACCTGGGCTGAGAGACTGGGCTTATAAGGGTGGTGTCATGGGGATGCCAGCAGAACCACGAGAAGCAGAGAGTAGAGCAGAAGAGCAGAGAAGCAAAGAGAACCACAAAAGCAGCAGAGAACAAGGCCACCAGAGAACTCCGGAGAGCCCAGGTAGAGTGAAGACTTGCTGTGGGCTGGGAGGCCTGCCAGCCTCCTGGCCCCCCAGCACCCTGCCTGCTGTATACTTGGTAAATCTAAATAAAAAGCCTGCAAAAGCCACCGAGGGCTCCAGGACTCTCTCCTCCTTTACCCCATCTGCTTGGGTCATAGAGATCCTTCTCCGTGCCCGTTCCTGCCCACTGTACCTTCTTCGTGGCACTTGGTGGTTGGCTTTCTGATGGCACACTCATTGGGGAGAGGAGTCATATCTCCCACGCCTGTGGCACCCCCATTGCCGGGCAGCCCTGCTTATTCAAAAGGTAAGAGGAATCTGTTCCACAGTTGTCTTATGAGGAGCCATGGGTGAGGCGAATAAGCATTTCTAAGTGTTACATGAAACAAATAGAAACTAGGAGAAGCAGTGGAATATCGCCCGTCGGCCTGGGTCTGTGTGCTCCACGAGATGTGTGTGTGTGTTTACGTTTCTAGAGGACAAGAGCATATATATTGGTGTGTGTAAAATATATCCCTTTGGAAATTACAGTTTGTTGTATTTTGAAAAGTCGACTGTGGTTTGATATAAAAAATGGAAAAATGAACTTTTTTCATCCCCAGTAACTCATACAAACCTTCACAAGCAAATATTACAAAAGCCCCAAAGGCAGCAATAAATTCCTCTTGTTGATTTAAATCCCATTAAGGTTTCAGAAATGCTGAAAGCGTGCGGCTGATAAACCAGATGACTTAAGGGGGTTTATACCAAAGGGGCTTATAGAAGTTATTCTAGAGGAAAGACTTCCAATTGTGAGAGATAAACAAGCTTTGGATCTGAGTGGTGTTTCTTCTGAGTGTGCTGGAAGGGCCAAGGAAAGTTCACATCGCAGAAGAGCGGATGCATTAATGAATTTCCACACTTTGAAACTCTAGGGGGGTCTCTGCCTCACTGACCTGGGCTGCTTGATTTTACCTTTTTGCTTCCCTCCTCCAACTTCCCTCGCTCTCCCTCCCTCCCTCTCTTTCCCTTATCCCTTCCCTCCCCCACCTTCTCTCCTTCTAACTGATGGCGGTGTGCAATAGGGCACCTGTGTTTCGCATCAAATTATAACTCTCAACCCTTTTAATTTTCCTCTGGATACATCTAAAACTCCTCTCGGCTCGCACTAGAAATGATTGCTCTCACAGATTGGCATCCTTTTCCAGGCCAAGGCTAAGGCTAACCATTGCAATTTCTCAGAGAAGCATAGAGCAGTCAGAAAGCTATTGAATGATGGGTCCCTGAGACAGTTGTTATTTACTTCATCATGTCTTAGCAGAGCTTTCTCCCAGCATGCCTTGTGTTTGCGCAAAAGTCTTAATATGTAGCATGTGTGTAAATAGAAGAGTTAAGTAAAACTCAATAGATCACCTGAGTGAAGCTATGGAGTGAAACATCTGCTCCAAGCCAAGTGCAGATGTGCTGTGTGCAGAATCAGCCTGCCGCGTGCAAGGGCACGTGGAGCCAGGGGTCCTTTTCTGCATGTCGATGGTGAAACGTAGCTCCACCAGGCAAATAAGAGGTGGTTGGGAAGAGGTGCCCACCTGCAATTCAGTGCCAAGCCTGCCTCTGGGTTGTCTGCATGGTGGGGCATTTTGATCTGAGGAAAACGATGTATTCATCAGCACAGACGGGGCATAATGTCGCTGTTAAACATGTCCTTTGTTTGGGACACTGCGGGAACACCCCATGACCTTGCAAGTTGGGGTAAAGGGAGGTCAGAAAATGCAGGTCAGGGTGAAATCCAAGAGGTCACCACGACTCTAAGGCCCCTGTGTTGGCTGTGCTCTGAGGTGAGGTGGCCCCTGTGTTAGCTGTGCTCTGAGGTGAGGTGGCCCCTGTGTTGGCTGTGCTCTGAGGTGAGGTGGCGGAGTGCTCCGCAGCAGAGGCTGGATTTGCTGCTGGTTCTTCATTCATTCATTTAAACCCATACCCAGCTCCCAAGTGAATCCTGTCCTTACCAAGCACAGAAGCTTAGTGATGCACAAGGCTCCCTTAGCTGACCTTGGGACTACCTTGCAAAAGGAGTCCGCAGACTTGATTGCACATGATGAGATTCTAAGTCATTGGCTCCTGTCGATAGCGTTGGTTTGAGATCAGGTGTATTTCTCACACCAAGTGAAGGAAAGGCCCACCAAGGCCTATGTTTTCTCTTGAAGGACTATTCTATTTTTAACAGGCTTCCTAACTGCTGTTTTGCTCAAGTCAAAGGTATTTCTTAGGGTGGGATTGAAGGCACCAACAAATAGTATTTTGTACATAAAGGAATCTTTTCCTTGATCTCTAAGATAATTTCGAGTAACTGACTACCAACCTGGTGTTAGCAGATAATGTTTTATTTAAATATAAAAACATGTGAACATCTTTATCCACATAATCTTCTCAGGTATTTGTAACAGTACTTACACACACACACACACACACACACACACACACACTATTCATTAGAGGACAGTTTTTCAGTTTTTTTTGCTGAATCCAACTGGTTGATCCCTTTTGAAGGGGTTATTCTCAGCTCCCCGTGTGCTGCTGTAAGGCCTGTAGCTGCCTTCGCCCCACCCCACTGCCATGAATTGGGCCCAACTTCCTATTTTTATCTTGAGTTTTTATTATGAATTTTTTTTCAGATTTGATTTTATGCCTGCCAAGTGACATGAGGAAGAAATATCAGGGAAGACCAGGAAGTTCGGGGTGTGGGCATGCACTGGGCTCTGATTTCCTCGGGTGCATGAGTGTGGGTGACTCTTGGGCCAGAGCTCCCGCAGATGGACATGTCCGAGCCGGACGAGTGTGCTGGGCGCACCCTGGGGCTGGGAGCCCAGAATCCTGGGTGGGGCCATGGGTTTGGGGCAGTGCACCCCCATGTGAAGTACTGTCAGGACATAGGGAGCAGGTGGTCGGCTCAACCTCCAAATCAGACTGTCGGGTCCTTTTGCTTTGGGCGACATTACCGTCTAACGCAGTGATGTTCTCTGAGGTGAAAGTCTGCACCTGCAAAGCAGCCTTCACACTAATCCTAGAAAGTTGGGCAGTGTATTGCTTTCTGACTGGGCCACAAACCCAGTGGGATATGGACATCGATGACCATGAATGTCAGAGAGATGGTCCTTGAATTTCTATGACATGTTTGCTCATCAGTTAAGAGTTAATATTTATATGAGCGTCCTGGCTGACAACAGGGTCGGAGTGACTTAAAGAATGAGAGGCTACGAAAGTGTCCGTGGGGCAAGAGTGTGCACAGGAGATAATGAAGCCGCAGGGGCCAGCATCAGTGGCCCTTTCCTCCTGGAAAGGGCCCAACACAGCCCTGGCCTGGGGAGAGAGGGGGAGGGAGCAAGGCCTCTGAGAAAGAGCTGCCTCCCTGGGAGAGGGAGAGCAGCCACCCAAGCTCTGGGAATACAGGTGAGAAAATAACTAACACACGCATGTTTTTCTCCGGTTGCTTCTCATTTCCCTTCTGTGTGCTCCTGGGCCTGGCACCTCTCAGAAGCCTGAGACAGGTGAAGTAAAGGCCACAAACACACAGGCTGGAGAAGGACATGAGGGCCCCCAAGAATAACCAGCCTGAGACAGTCATGAGTCGCTGCTGCCCATCAGGCTGCTGAGGACTCACTGACTCCAGCCTTGCCACTGCAGTCTCCGCCATGCTCATGAGAAGACTGGCTCTTGGGGAGGTTATGCAATTTCCCCAAATCCAGCAGTCAGGCTGTGGCATCCAAGCCCAGCTTCTCCACCGTGAGGGGGACTGGGCAGAGGGACTAGAGCTGAAGGAACGTGGAAACCGAACATTCTGGTAACCATCATCGTCACCATCAGGGGAGAAAGTCTCTGCCTTACATCTCCAGACAGGATCACACTGGACTCTCACAATATTCTTGGGAGCCAGAATGGTCAGGTATTGTTACCCTCACTTTACTAATGAAAAACAACAAAGGGTCAGGCCAGGTGAAAGGCAGTGTCTCAGAGCTGGCTCTTGGGTTCTGAATCCGTTGGTGAGTGGAGTCCACCACTAATTGCTAATTAGAATGCTGGCAACCGGTCAGTTTAATTAAATTAAGCTCCCAACCAAAACAAGACAAAATAAAAGCCAGATACTCTGCTTAAATATTAGAAAAATTTGTTTCTCCTTTCCTTATGGGCTGTTATCTCATTTTGCCCCTATGGAGGAGGCACTCAGGTGGTGGCCGTGATTAAAGAAGGGATGTGTAATGCATGAATCAAAAACAAGAGGGAGGAAAATAATTTTTGAACTAATGAGTAGCAAAATAAAAGTTAATCTAAAATTCATAGGCTAAACCACTATGGAAAGCTGTGGGGAGATTCCTCAACCTGCTAAAGATGGAGCTTCCATATGATCCAGCAATTCCACTCCTAGGCATTTACCCAAAGGACACAGAATCATTAATTCCAAAGGGCACCTGCACCCCTATGTTTATAGCAGCACTATTTACAGTAGCAAAGCTGCGGAAACAACCCAAATGCCCAAAAGTAGATGACTGGATCAGGAAGATGTGGTACATATACACCATGGAATATTACTCAGCAACCAAAAAAGATAAACTCATGCAATTTGCAGCAACATGAAGCTGGAAGGGATCATGCTCAGTGAAATAAGCCAGAAAAAGAAAAATACCGGATGGTCTCACTCATAGCAGGAATCTAGAAAACCTAAATAAGGGACCAGGAAAAAGATTAATTATAATAAAGTAAAAATCAAAATCGGGCCTCCCTGGTGGCGCAGCGGTTGAGCGCTGGGTTGCGAAGCTTCCTGCAGCCTCTGCAGCACCGGTTCGATTCCCCAGCAGCTCCCCGGCCACCGGAGGAGGGTCCCATATGGCGCACAGACTTCTCCTGACGCCCGCTGCTCCCCTCAGCAGTGTATTTCATCAGTCTGCCTGCTCTGCTCCCCGCTCTGGCTCTGGTGAATTCTCTCACCCTCCTGTGCTTCTGACTGTACCCAGTGCCTGTATGTATAAAT